CTGACACACACACACACACACACACACACACACACACACACACACCGTTAAGCAGAAGTTGCTGCTCTGTTCCCAGACGGGCTCAGCTCCTGGCCAGGTGGCTCTGTGATGCAGACTCCACAGTGGACCAGAGCAACCTGAATCCTCTGCAGTAGGGTGTGTTCCTCCAAGCAATGCGGCCCTCGTCTTCATTACATCAGCTGAAGTTATCTGAAAGAGCTCCCCTCAATGGTCGACTGTTAACATTCCCTCAGAACAAGGGATGGGGAGGGTCACAGGACCCTCACCCGAGATTCCAACCTTTCCTCCCAGCATGCGTGTGCCATCCTGCTCTAATTACAGTGGCCTTGGGGTCTCGGAGGTGCTGGAGAACACAGGCTGGGGAATTTCAACCCAAGAGGCTCTTCCAGTGTGGCAATGGACAAGCCATCATCCCCATGCTGGGTGAAGGTTTTCTAGCGTGGCTGCTTTGTGGTCACCCATGTTCCTGTAAGTGACTCCTCACCCATGATCTGTAAGCCCAATAAACTCACTTCCTCACTCTGATCTTTGGTGGAATCATACATGGTCCTCTCTCTCTCTCTCTCTCTCTGTGTGTGTGTGTGTGTGTGTGTGTGTGTGTGTGTGTGTGTGTGTGTGTGTTTGGATTGTTTTTTGAGACAAGGTTTCTCTGTGTAGCCTTGTAACTCACTTGTAGACTTTATAATGGGGAGACAGATGTTGTTTATATCTCCCCAGGAAAGGAATTATTGCAATGGTATCAGAGAGGCTGTGCCAATTTTCATGTATTCTGGAAGAGCATCTATAGCCCTTGGGCTCCTAAAGATGAATGGGACACCCTCTATCCCAGGATGAACAACTCCTGTCCACAGAATATGGGACATGAGTGCAACTCTGAATGACAGCATCTCATTGCCAATGCACCACCTGCCACCCACTGCTAGCTCAAGGACCACCAGAACACAGAGAACTTGTGCCTTCAAGGGTGCCGAAGGTGTCCAACATTTGGGGAGGAGAGTAGCAGCCAGAAGGTAGCTGGGTTAGCTTCTCTGGCCCTGGGACACAGGGACACTAAGTCAAACTTTAGAAGGACCAATGGCAAAGTAGCAGAAATATCATGTTGTCCTGGCCCTGTAGCAAGGATTCAAGTACGAACATTTGTTCTGGAGTACTCTCAGGGGCCCTCAAGGACAAGAGACCTGTCAGTGCCTGAAGGCTCCACAGTGGCCTCAGGCCACTGCCCAGGGCTGGCAGAAATGTAAAGCAACCAAGCCAAGACCAGCAGCTGACAAACAACCAGGGAAACAATAACCAGATGCTGCACACCCACCAGTACCAGGGGCCAAGCGCTACTCTGAATACATTCCTGGTTTAGTACACAGCTTAATTCCATGTAGGCGGTGGGTGGGTTGGCTCTATCTGGGAAAGGCTCTCCCCTCGGAGGGAGCATGAGAAATAGCTCCATCTGCTAAATCACTTTGTGTTAATCCCAGGCTCTTGCAGAATTTTTTTTTCTTCTACTTGGTGGGAACAGCATTATCTCAGTGGCTCTCGGACAGACTGCAGACTGAAACAGATCCTGAAAAAGCCAATGGGAACCTTCGACCCTGCAAGTCACCACCTATCTGTGAGCTCCTGGCTCTTGTCTTCACCAGGAGGCTCGGCAAGTGTGGGAGAAGATGGCTGGCTTCAAATGCCACTGGAGAAATGCAGACCAAAGCCACAGTGAAGACAGGGTGTGTTGGCATACACCTTGGATCCAAGCCCCTGGAGAGCACAGGCAGGTGGATTTCTGTGAGTCTAAAACCAAGTGCTCTACCAAAAACCACAATGATTGTGCTGCTTTGCCCACAAGGATGAGCATAATTTTTTAAAAGGAAAGAAAAACAAGTACAGAAATTGGAACTCTCATGCATTGCTGGTGAGGATGCAAATGGCACAGCTGCTGTGGGAACGGTTTGGCAGCTCCTGGAAATGTCGCATGCAGAATAACTCTATGATCCAGCAATGTAACTACTAGGGCCTGGAAATCAGACTCCCAGAGAGACTTGTAGGTGAACGGTCACTGCAACAACAATATTCACCATCACCGAAAGGTAGAAACAAACGCATGTGTCCGTCAACAAAGAAGTGGGTAAGTGAAATGTTGTTCACTCAACAGTTCTCGGGACAGAACAACTGTGTGCAAAGGGAACAGCCTTCCTCAACACGCTCTAACACCAGTGGACCAGGGAACATTGGAATAAGCTGGACAAGAAAGGGCAAATAGTATGTAATCTCACTTGTATGGGCTATCCAGAATAGGCCCATCCAAAGAGACAGAAAGCAGATGAAAGGTTACCAGGAGTTATTGCTTAATGAGCCTAGAGTTCTTGACTGGGGCCATGAAAAGTTTTGCAAATGGTTAGTGATGCTATGGGACAGCGTCGTGAATATAAATCGTGTGGCTCAACTAATTGTACATTTTAAAACTGTCCCAATGGAAAGTTTTAAAGTGTTATGTATACTCTAACATAATAAAAATATTTACTAAAAACGCGTATTGGGCAGTGCACCTCAGCTGGTAGAATGCTTGCTTGGTGGGCACAAAGCCCTGGGTTTGATCCCCAGCACTGTTTAGTG